AGTAAATTTATATTTATTTTGGGACGAAACTAATATAGTAGTTACACAAGTATAATGCTGGTACCTTGTCAAGAGTAGGGAGTTCGTTTCTGAACAATTATTGATGCACTTTACTTCTGATTGCATTTCCATGAAGGTCGTCCACCAAATCTACATTTTTTTTACGATTTTAGTTATGGTATATTCTCTAATAATTTTGTAAATGCTGCGAACGCACACTCCTGCTTTATAAAATCTATAAAAGCCAATTTGAATAGTGACAATGGGATAGTGTATTTTTGGGAAAAACATATTTGGCCTTCCACTACTCCATCTTGAAACAAAAAAAATGTGGGAGTCTTCCAAAGAAAGGAAAGAAGTAACTCTATACGTAGATGTGTAGATCATGTAAAGAAGTAACTTTCAGACACAAACTGGAAATAAAAGCCCTCCCGAAACAGCTACTGTCATATAAATATTGAACTGCACGAAAGAAAAATTCTTTTGAAACAAATACTCACTTTTATATGAACAGTGAATTATACAAAATAGCTCCCAGGTACAAAAAAAAAATCTAGACCCTAATAGTTCAGCATTCTCTTTGGACAAGTGGAGGTCTTTTAATTCAGGTTGTTCTTCAGGTTTTCTTCCTTCACTCTTGGAAAAATAAGGACCGCCTTTTTCTGGCACATCATGGGAACCTGCCTGATTATAATACATTTCCAAATCTTCCTCCCAATTTGTCGGGGGTGTTGGAACTGGTAAACCTTTTCCATGAAGAACCGGCCTTCTTGCAGAAGGAATATCCGGATATACAATTTTGTGTTTACTCTTTCTTGAAAAACCAGACAGGTTTGTCATGCAAAAGTAACAGTCGTCGGAATGATTTGTTGTTTCTCGCCAAATCATTGAAACTGCAAAAGGCATAGAAGAGCGTTTGCCATTTAACCAGTAATTTGCTGCACAGGTTTGGCAACATATGTGAGGAGCCCAATCCCGATCTTGATCACCAACAACACATCCAAAATACTGAAGGTAAGCTACTTTGGTCAATTGATTAATTGGCAGTTTCTGCGATTTAGGAGTAAACTGACCACATATATAGCAAAAACTATCTGCGGGATTAACGAAGTCACGTTTCTGTACTTTGGACATTTTTGTACTGTTGCGTACGTCAAGTTCAAATATGTGACACTGCGTTTACAGGAGTCAACTTATTTGCTCACCTCGCTTTTCTTATACTAACTCAACACTACTCGCGTTAAACCAATATTGATGATCCAGTTGGCAACCTGCTACTTTTATAGTATTTCTGGTGTTTTCTGGAAACTTCGAGTATCGAAAGTTCGACAAGCGGCGGCGTTAAAAGACTCATATACAGCGGAAGCAGATTCGCGTACTGTGCAGAGCTGCTGTGATGGGAGATTTTAAACAATTTATGCCTTTAGCATTACAGTCGTAAATTGGCTGTAAACTAGTGTTATCTTCAAAAAAGAAAAACTATTACAGGAGCATACTGGGCATCATTACTTGGCAAGCTGGAAGCAGAACTCGTGGAAAAACGATCACATTTGCAGAATAAGAAAATCCCGTTCCTCCAAGACAACACACCGTCTCACACCTCAGCGGTTGCCATGGCGAAAATCCACGAATTACAGTTTGAACTGCTTGACCATCCGCCTTACTTACCAGATCTAGCCCCAAGCGAATTATTTTTGTTCCCTCAACTGAAAATTGCGTCAATCACCTCCGTGAACAATTATTTTGCAGAGAAAAACACTGACTACTATATGGATGGATTACAGAGATGGGAACCCGCTGGGAGAAATGTGTAGAGTTAAAAGGGGGCTATGTTGTATCTTTGTTAGGTCGGAAACTTTTTAGACCCACCCTTTCATTACATTTTAAAGTAGACTCATAAAAACAAACAAAGCTTTTGAAACAACCAGCTTGTAAGCTAATAATGATATACTCCAACACTCAGATAATCTCAAAACTGAAAAGGGATCTCACCACATTGTCCAAAACTTGTTGGACTTGCAAGTGCTGCAATTGTTGGACTGTTAAAGCTTGTTGGTTGAGTTGATTTTCACTTAGATGAAGTTGAGCAGCCTGTATTGCCTGCAACTGAGCCGAAATGATATCTTTCTGGTCCTTGCTATCTTCAATAACGGAAACCAAATTATCTTGAACTTGGACCTGAACCATGTTTTGTTGTCCAGAATGTTGTTGGTTCTGTTGGTGTGATTGTGGTATCTAGAACACAAAATTCAATATTCTGAATAAAAATCCATCTGTAATTGTTGTTCTATTCGAGCACGTCCCACCAGCACATATTCTGTTAATAACATAATAACAAAAATGTCTGATTAGCGTCCTTTACAATTCACCGATGATTCAGTGCTTTGAATTAATTCTAGGAAACTTTCTGTTGATATTTCGAAATTCCCAGTTAAGTTCGTGACACACTGCAGTAAACGACACACAACTTGCTTTCTACGGCTTTCGATTATCCGCCAGCACTCCCTTGTCGCCGAGTCGACTGATGTGACGTCAAGCTTGACCACGCCCCGTTTCGGTGAACGCCACATTCAACTATTAATTTGAGGGGGAAGACAAAGAGTGAAAATCCAGATTTTTTGCAGATGTACTAGTTGAAACATAAACTTTCAAATAATGAAATAAAAAAAATTGTTAAATGGCCCATTGAACATTCACCTTATTTTTTTAACAGACCTCGTATGATCTTACATTTACTGCCATAAACAAACTAATTTGAAAACATTAATGACTGTTTTATTGACTTTCTTCCTAACATTTTCAACTAAGTCCACTGTCTTTTCTTGCATTTGCATGTAGTCCTAGTCTGTAGCCAATTTTATGAAAATTATAACTTTCTTGAATAAAACTGTTGATTTTCAGAAAATTCAAATACCTACCCTGACATCTCTGGATATCTGATTGTGGTTCTGTGAAGTCACATTTCCGTTTTGGTGATGATTAGACATACCGTGGGTGTTTTCAAGTTGTATTCCAGTCGGTATTCCTAAGTTCCCTTGGGAGGTTGCTATGCTTACTGGAATTTGGGTGTGCTGTTGTATCAACAATGGATCTGCTTGAAGGAGGCCTGCATGCTGACTCAGCATCCCATCCTAGATAGAATATTTTATGTAATTCTAGTTCATGTATTGGTCATACGTCATATTCCATTCACACCTTCAGTATGCTACTTTATCTTGGAGTAATGCAGCTCAAACACACATAGTTAAACTACTAATTTTACAAAAGTCTGCCATAAGATGTATTACGAAGTCAAATTGGGAGGCTAGCTATAGACCTTTATTTCCGGCTCTAGAAATAATGACTGTTTATGCCTTAATTATATACCACAAACTAATATATATTAAAGATAATATTGAATGCTATGAAACTCATGAAGAAATACATGACTACCAGAATAGTTAAAACAAAAACAAGGCTTCAAAAATCCATCAAAATTGATACTGGACTTACCATCTCAATTTCGAGATTAACCTACCTCCAAAAAAATTCAAATCCAAATTGAAATTATCTAGTAACTGTATTTACAACTTCCAAGCATTTACTCAGTTGATCGCTGGAAATCGGCATTTGTTCGTGGATAATCACAGTGATTGAATATAATTTCTCATTTTATTGTTACGGTATATATTCATACATTTATCTATATTTCATTCATTTAACATTCTATACATTTCACATTCTTTTCAACTTTTATACATCATACTTCATATATTTTATACATTTACGTTTTATATACAGTGTGACCCATTTTTAATGGAAACACTCCCTACCTTGGGACAAAATTTGAAATGTTTATTAAAGTTTCAGGGCATACTACGATATTTTTTCTTAGTCGAAAATCGGGATTTTTTATTAGCGATTTTTTTATTGAAAGAAATCACTACGCCACTGGATTCAGAGTGCCTCTAAATAGGTGTGACCAAAATTTCATGAAAAAATATACATGATTAACAAAGTTATGACAACTCAAAAATTCGAAAACTCACACANGAAAAAATATCGTAGTATGCCCTGAAACTTCAATAAACATTTCAAATTTTGTCCCAAGGTAGACCTTTTAGTACTTGACATTAAAAAAAAAATCGATTTACAACTTCAAATTTTAGGGAGGTGTTTCCATTAAAAATGAGTCACACTGTATAATTCACACATTTTACATTTTATATATTCATATTCAGTCATTCCTTAAAATGTATTTTATCTTGTATGTAGATCACACATATATTTTTATTCTTCAATATCCCACATCACAATTATTGTCAATCTCGATTGTATTCCCAGGAATACAAATAATTCTATCATCTATCTTTATGTATTGGGGTTTGGACTTGTCTATAAATGTAAAATTTTCTTGAGACAAATAAAAATGAAATGAACTATAAAAATTGATGGAAATGGCCGATACTTTATCGGGTTGTTGGAATTTGCCATATGACAGATAAAAAGGAATATTTCTAGAAATATCGATATCAATCTGTTTGTCTTCAGGAAATTATTAAATGTTCCGACATTTTGTAGTAGGTGAAGATGTTGACCTCATATTCTAGGGTTGTGAAGTATTCGTCAGGAGCTTCAAAATGATGTATCACAAGACCCCCCTTTCCTTTCAATTGTTTTTTCCCAGATCATCAGTTTCATCTGTCAATTTCACTTTGAAATGAACTATTCATGCATTATTTTTATTATCCCTAATTTCAATTTTTGAGTTGATCCATTCAAAAAATAAAAGGGGGAGGGGACATTAAAGAAATGCACTGTATACAAATTGAACATTACTCTCTATATTTTGGATGTTTTTTGAAGAACAAACAAAACTTATTTTGAAATGATATTCCATGCTGGCTTTACTGGAAAGGTAATTGAAATATTTAGGTATGACAGTATTTTGACTTGAATACTCGTTTTCATGAAAGAAAATGATGGTTCCAATCTTCAAATACAAACCTGTGATACTTTTCCCTGGCTATCTCTGTTAGCACCTGGTAAACCATAAACTGATACTTGCGGAATAGGGCCAGGCAATAAATTTGTCAAAACCCAGTACTTAGCAACATTGCTGAGTGCTACAGCATTCAGTGCAGTGGTATTAACCCTAAGATCTGTTGGAACAGAGGTGGTCGGGGCAGGCCTCTGTGAATTACCCTGGAAAATATTATGCCAATATAGGACCAAATATTTGACTAGTTAACATTGAGAAATAAATTGCCATACACTTTACTTTAAATATACTGACATCTTTTTGCCGATGATTTGACAATGTTCAGGACAGTTCAAACACCAAATGATTGCTTATTATTACAACTTTCATCTATATTATAATTATATAATAATCATATTACAGGAAGACAACAAAATATTGAATTTGAGACATTCAATACTGTATTTTTCTTTAGTGATATCAGTCTTAGATTATTGCAGTTGCATTTTTCACCCACTTATGTTTGAAGAAAAGGTGCAAAGAAATTGAAAGGACTGTTCGTTGAGCTGCAGAAGCCAAATAGTTGCAGATTGGAAAATGACTTACTTCAAATATTGCAATCTTCAATAAACTGTCTTACATTCAGTCCAAAATGGTTTGAATATACCTTCTAGAAGTACAAGGCGTACAGGGACATTAGTTGTTGGCTTCCATCGTTATGTGACACCAGAATATTATTGTCACCGGTATATATCATCATTTGATTTGCGGATGCACAGGTGTCTTCTTTTGTCACTCACAAAGACTATAAACAATAGTGGTCCCAAGATTGAACCCTGTGGAACCCCTGTATTTATTATTCTTGAATCGGTGTGTATGTCTGAAGGGACTAATGGAACAGGTGGTAGCATTGTCTGAACTTCGAACCGGTACCGATTCTATGTGTGAAGAATGAAATTTTGAAAAGGTCTACTCTGTGCCTGGCTTCAGATAGAGGACACGTTCTGGTGATTATCATCTAGTACATAAGTATCTTTTCTCGATACAGTCTTCAGACATAAAAGTGGATGCAAATGAGATAGTCATTTTGATTTCTATTCCAATACAGTCTTACCTTTCTGTTTCCTTGTCAACGATGTGCCCTAACAAAAATCTTTTATATACAGGATGTAACAATAGATAATAAACACCTCGAAAATGTAACAAAATCAGATTACATTCATTTTATAGACTGCACAGACAGTAAAACATGTTCTGTGAATGATTACCCAACACATACCAAGTAAACGAGAAATGCACATCAAATTGCTAAAGAACTGCTTTGGTAGAGTCTCACTTAAGGTACGATATACCTTTTTGGGGTGTGTGTAGCCTTAATTTGCTAGAGTCTGTATTTCTATTACAGAAAAAAGCTATACGATACTTGTGTCAAGCTAAACCTCGTGACTTATGAAAACAACTGTTTGTGGATAAAAAAAAATTGATGCTTGAAGCTCTTTTTATTCTGAAGACAGTGTGTTTTATCAAAAAAATATTTGATAAACCTCTCGGTTATCACCTATTACTATACAGCTCGTCAGAGCATACAAAATAATTTAAAATCACCTACCCCTGAATATTACTGGACTATTTTCCCAACACCAAACTGTTATTTTTAACACCTCCATGCGTGTTACCTCTGCTAGGTACTAGCAGGTATCTATGGTATAAATAATGACAATATTGTATGTATATTTAGTTTAATCTACTACCCCTTGAAGATGATCGCTTTGTGATCGAAACACGTGTCTAGGTGTTAAAATAACGGTTTGGTGTTGGAATAAAACTCCAGTAATATTCATTACTACACCAAAGATTCCAAATAGTGCATCAAAGTTACCTATTCCTTGCAACTCTCTGGTCAACGACTCCTCATTTTACAATGGTGTGAAGATGTATAACCTTCTGCCGAGTTACTCTAAAGAGACAAATATTGATACCAATAAATACAGAAAAATAATTGAATCAATTTTGAGTAGTAGAACCTGTTATAGTTTAACTGAGTTCTATACCAATCATTTTTAACCTAGCATGTTTTATGTGTATGTTCGTTTCAAACATTGTTTGTTGTTTTTTATTCAATGTGTTTTATGCTTTAGTTTAGTGTACATTAAATTTTCATATTTTAGTAGCTTTGTCAACAAGATTTTTTCCTTCAGACAATGAAGTATAACAAAAAATGATTGCAAAAGACCCAACACAAATAACATAAAAAATTTAGCTTTCATACTAGAACGTATCAATAGTAACCTTTCTGTCCCTTTCAATGATAGGGTCATGTGCCCAATAAACTTTCAATTCATCAATTTATATAAAATGAATAAAGCCTGAAATTCAAGGGCTCTTGCTCTATTACTGTGATTATTTGTCATGCAGTAACATAACATTGTTTATAAAAAATTACATTGAAAATGAAGTAATTTTATTAACTGTTCAAAAAGTTGAATAAAAACATCCAGGAGAAATATGGTAGGAATGATTTGAATTGAAGAAAAAAGATTTGGTCCAGATGTATTAATATAACATGGGAAAGTATATTTTTGTCCCAAACAATTTGAGAATTCAAAAGTATCCTTATATATTTTAGGTAACATTTTTTGGAAAAGCTTTTGTTACATTTTTTTATATAATTTTTGTTAAATTTGTTTCATTTATTTGAAATTCTAATGGTGAGATAATTTTTCATTATTTTGTAAATTTTCCTGACAACATAATAAATTGTTCAATATTTTTTTATATTCAGGAGATTGGTTCACATTCATTCCTTTAGAAGAATTTTTTAATAACTATTATCTTGTAAGGAAATGTTTTATTGATAAAGTTGAATGATATTAATAAGTTTTTCCATCAATCATTCTGTGATTTAACAAAAGAAGTCCTTTATGTAAAATCCTAGTCACATCCCCCAATTCCTTTACCTTTACATTTTTTACATTTACTTTACCTTTACATTTACATCAGTTGACAAGCTGGCCTTTAACTTTAATAAACAAAACAATCATTTGATTGTGCTTACCTCAGTATTTGAAGTACTGTGCCCCGCCGACAGAACACTTTGATTATCTATATTCATTACAATATATGAAAAACAAAATAAAATGTGGTAAACATCACAATATTACCATAAATTATAGGTAACAGTTTTAACTTTTTGAATTATTCACGAATATTTTCACTGACAAGTCAATTGATGAACGAGGGGGACGCGGAGGTAGCCATTACAAAGTTCGCAAATCATTTTTGTTGATTTTTAACTATTTAAACGGCATCTTTGAGTACACATCGGACACAAATTGTTGAATTCATTATTTACCAAAGTTGTTCACAATTTGTTATTCCATGGATTAGCCAAAAACGCATTAATTTAGTACAAAGGCGAGAACGGTAGCGGGGCGCCGCAAACAATAAACAGTCCAAAACAACATGGCGTCATAGAACTCTAAAGTCAGAAGTGGATGCGCAAAAAAAACAAGAACTCTATTCAAATTTTATTATGACTTTTCGAAAAACATACCAGAACTAATGTTAACAAATAAATTACATTCAATGGCATAAATTTCACATTATAAAGTCAACTAATACTGATTACTCATCTTCATACCTTTCAATTTTGAAAAATCCCTCCAATCTTTTGGAACTATGATACGTGACATATCTAATGTCAGTAAAATAGAGCTCTGTAATATGTTATCTACTATTATCGACCGACGAGAACTTCAAAATTTATTCAAAAATGACAGCGGTGAATAGTGGACTGTCAGTTGATGTTAGAATATAAGTAAATTCAGTGGCGGCGTAACACCTAAATTTAATGTGGGCAAGGTACATTTCGCGAGGACTTCTGATGGTGCAAGAAGAAGGATTTATAAAAAAACACTTGAAATTAAACAATTTTTCATTACACCTACCATAGTTTTTAGTTATATTGTTTTTTGAGACATCAAACAACATAATTGAAAATAAAAAAACGACTCAAAAGTAATAAAAAAAAACATAATTTCTAGGTCTCCGTATCAAAACTTCAGTCAAAATGACTGACACTGCGGCTACATACTCACCTGTACTTTAATTGAAGAAACAAACATTTTCTTTTAGTTTTTGATGAACCAGATGCCCATTTTCTCTCTTTATCCCTATTTCTCTTAGTGCCTAAGCCTGTCATGCTTGATAAATTATGAAGAATGCACCAATATTATTTAAGTGACATGAAAAAAATACTAATACCATTTGTAGGTACTCATCTCTTTCCTCAAGTATAACTTACTTTATAAAAAGTAGACTATGAATAACAATTTGATGAATGTGATACACAATATTACTTTGTATATTACTTACTTTAGTATTTCACAAATGTAAAATATATTCAATACAATAATAATCCGCATAATAAAAAAAGAAAATGGATTCTAGCGCAATAGAGGATATGAAACAAATAATACTTAATTTTATATAAAGATTTTTTCATAAAGAAAACTGAAAACATGAGCGTAAGTATAATAAATACTTCTTACCTTATTCTTGATATATAAAATAAACACAGATGTTATTATTTTTCTTGACTGCACATTACGAATTTTTACTGATTAAACACGTGTTATCATTTTAAAACTCTGTAACACTATTATTTATTCTCACATTAAAAACTTTTAGAAACACAATCAATCCAAGCTTAAACTTCCAAAATTACCTATCACTCTCTCGTAAACATCAGACAATTCTAACCCGTCTCAGGATTGGCCACACAAGGTATACCCACCAGCATCTACTGAAGGAAGAAAAACCCAAAAGATGTATTTCCTGTGATGAAGAATTAGATGTGAAACATATCATCAAGGTGTGTCCTGACTATAGGGAGCAGAGATTGTCAACGCGACTACCTGAAGAACTCAGTGATGCCTTGAATCCAGATAAATTTGAGATTTTACTAAAGTATCTGGTATCTATAAATATTGTACATCTAATATGATTGTAATGTGATTCAAATTGTACTACACCGCTAATAACCTTTGTAGTTGATGCGGTTATATTGAATAAAAAAAAAGAAAAGACAAAGATGATAATGTTTCAATGAATTAATTTCATAATATAATATAGGTATATCAGAAAAAGAAATATATACACGAATTTTGAATTCATATGTTTTCGTGCGCCGAAGAGTGAAATATCTTCATGTTGGGAATTTTTCAATGTATCATTTATAGAAAAAAAATCATGGCGGTGTGCTATATTTAATTTGGGACGCCACTAATGTAGTAGTTAGACAAGTATAATGCTAGTACCTTGTCAAGAGTAGGGAGTTCGTTTCTGAAGAATTATTGATGCACTTTTCTTCTGATTGCATTTTTGTGAAAGTCGTCCAGCAAATCTACATTTTTTTACGATTTTGGTTAAGGTATATTCTCTGATAATTTTGTAGATGCTGCACCACACACTCCTGTTTTATAAAATCTATAAAAGCCAATTAGAATAGTGACAGTGAGAGTATTTTTGCCGAAACTCGACGAAACCGGACACTAGTGCCAAGTTACTTGAACACTTTCCGTGGAAGTATCTATAGAAGAGAGATAAATGTCCAACTTTTCTTCGATGTTCCAGACTATCAACGTAGCAAGTGATATTCTCGTCTTCAATCAGGCGGATGTCTCTCTTCTGGATGGAACCCAGCAGCTTCAGGGTGTTTGGGGGCGGAGCTCCATACATGAGAACAATGCTCAAAAGAAGGTCTGATTTGAGCTTTATAAATCATCAAAAGTTGCTGAGGTGTGTACAGTTTTCGGGTTCAGAACACTGTTCCAAGCTTTTGAGAAGCAGACTTTACAATTCCAGCGACATGACTGTGCCAAGACATATTGGTGTCCATTTTAACTCCCAACAAACTTATCGAAGCAGAAAGCGGAATTGTCTGACCTGACATTATTATATCCAGTTCGGAGACATTTACCGTCTTGGAGAAAACCGATGCCTGGGTTTTCGTGGCATTGAATTGAACCTGGTTACTTCCACCCAAATTCGAAATTACTTCCGGATCCTCATTAAGATATTCAACCTCCTGCTGCTGGTGAAGATGTGCTTCTGCAGTCGACGTCCTAGAATCCAAATATAATGACGAGATAAGTGAGCTGTCATCAGCAAAGCAATATATCGGATTCTTGTTTTTTTTCAATAAGTCGTTGATATATAGGGTGTAACTGAATAAGTGTAAAAAATTTAAGGAAGTGATTCCTCATCGAAAAAAAGATAGGATCTTTCATATAAAGAAACTTCATAGGAGCATCCGTTGTTAAGATACAGCCCCTTAAAGGGTGTACATAAAATTTGTATAATTCCAATGAAATTTCTTTATATGAAAGATCATATCTTTTTTTCGATGAAGAATCACCTCCTTGAACGTTTTACACTTATTCAGTTACACCCTGTATAATAAAAGGAGGGTTAGAGACAATATGGATCCCTGGGGAACACCAGCGTTGATGGTGAAAGTATTTGAGAGATATCCATCGACAGCCACTTGCAGGAACGTTCTTCCAAGAAGCTGAAGAGCCATACACAATAATGCTATTCTGTATACTCCATCTTTTGAATTATACCAAATGACTAATGGATCCCAAAACCTATATTATATTGAAAGCTTTGTTATGTTCATGGATTTTACAGGTATATGAAACACAGGTACCGGGTATCAGGTATATCAAATCATTTATGATAGAATAAGCAACATAGGTATAAATTACTCAGATTTAAATGTAATCAGTTAGTTTTGAAAATGGTGTAATAGCCGAAACCGGTCAACAATAAAGAAATATAGTGAAAAATAGATAAAAGTGTGTTTTTGTAGTGTATTCTCAGTGAACATGAATTTCCACAAAATGAACAAGTCGTCAATCGAAGAAACTAATAATATGACTTTGAATCCTTTTAATACTCTCCGAGAGAAAGCTGAATTCGTATACGAATTGTCTGAGAAGTTCCTGAAAAGTAATATTAGATTATTAATATAATTGCATCAGCAACAGCAGGCACTGCTAAACAGAAGAGGTCAAATCCTGCTCCACGACAACGCCCGTCCGTACATTCACGTTTCGCAAATCACCATCTTGAAATAAAGTGGGTTGAGTGACAACATCGCCTCACCCACCATACTCCGCAGACCTCATCCCAACCGACTGCCTTTTTTTCAAACACTTCGATAAGTTTCTTACCGATAGAACCTTCATCAAGCAGGACTAGACAAAAACGACCTTCTTCGACTTCATGGAATCCCGAACACATAATTTTTATGCTGATGGAATTAATAGACTTGTGTTACGTCGACAAAAGAGCACTGATTTAAATGGTACTTCTTTCGGTTGAATTGAATAAGTATTCACTGAGATATTTCAGTTTAAAGTAGACTCACAAAAACGGACAAAACTTTTGAAACAACCTAATATCATTTATTCGCATAAAAAAATTCATACAATTACAGTTTTTTCACAACAATAGCTAGATAACAACAATAGCTAACTATCCTAAGTGAATGTTCAACAGATATGTAACGTTGAAAAAACTATTAAGAAAAGAGGTGCATATAAATTAATCATGAACATCCATAAATATAGGTAGATCAATAATGCCCAAATATACATACGAGAGTGGTTTGAAAAATTTCCGGCCTAACAAAGATACAAGACATTTTTCAGTATTTTTTAAATATTTGCATCATAGTCTCCTTTTGAATCTACGCACTTCTCCCAACGATACTCCCATCTCTATACCGTCCAAATAGTACACGGCAAAATAATTGTTCACGAAGGTGATTGCTTCTTTATTTGACAAAAATATCTGACCTCCGAGCGCAGTTTTCAGATGAGGGAACAAAAAGAATTCGCTTGAGGCTGGATTTGGTTCAGTTCAAACCATAACTCGTGGATTTTCGCCTTGGCAACCCCTGACGTGTGAGACGCTACATTGTCTTGGTGAAAAGGAGTTTTCTTTTTCTACAAATGTCGCCGTTAGTAGATGAGCAAGGCGGATTTTGGGGCGGAAGTGGCTTATCAGCCAGGACTCTTGTGCTTTTCAGCTGTTGCTCAATTTTTCGTCAATCTCCGTTAAGATCGGTTCAGGTTTCTCAGTAATTCTGTTGAGGTCCTCATGTAAAACTTCTAAAAGATATCGAAGGAATTCGTGGGCGTCTTGATAGGCAGAACCCATGAATCGAGGGGCAAATTTTTGAATCTGACTTTTGAAGTAGACTGTGTTAATTACTCTATCAGATGTATCTTCTGACCACAATTCCTTGATAACTTCTGCGAACGATTTGATTAAAATACCTTTCATACTAGAATTACTAGTATTGATATCTTCCATGTATGTATCCTTTTTCAAGTATTCCAGCAACAATCCCGTGTTGCCATTAAACCAAATAG